GTACTATAGCAATTTCATTTGGTTTCATTAGGGCTTCCAACACTTCAGTAATTAATTGTTCATGCATTAATCCTCTTCATCAGGAGTTTATTAACCCTCTTTTATTTTTCCAGATTTTTCCAAAGGTTTGTACTACTCCATATGCATATTTTGAATCAGTATAGATAGTTCCTTCTTTCTCTTGAAGATAATCTAAAGCTCTTTTTAATGCACATAATTAAATGCATATAATTCACAACTCCGAGCAGACCAATTTGCTGGTAATCTCCCTTCTTCGACTACTGCCTTTTCTTCCCCATTTATGACAGCATACCCACTTACTCTTTTTTTTTCCTTCTATACATTGGGAAGAACCATCTATGAAGAGCTTCTTCCCATAGGGTATAGGTGTATCTAAAAGGTCCTCTTTTACCTTGGTTTGATAATCTGTAAAGACTAAACAAACATGTTCTGGCTTTTCATCCCCTTGTTCATATAAGAATTGGGAGAGATTTGAATGTCCATCTACTACCAAAGTTATATCATCCTTTTCCATAAGAATAGGTTCATATTTTAGAATTCTAGAATCAGTTAACCAGTGGCCAGACTTTTGTGATAAAATGTTTTTACAGTGGGTGGGTATGTACAACTAAAGCTCCCCCAGATGTTAGTTTTTGACTTTTCTCTACCAAAATTGCTGTCACCGCTACTGCCTGGTAGCAGTACATACTGGTATTCTAAAACTTATCCCTTTTGCCTCTATTACTGTAGTTTGTTTTTCCTCCACCTTATACCCATAGGGCACTGTAATAATACAAGGTTTTTTAGCTCCCGAGTCTACCAAAAAGGTATATTTCTCCTTCTGAGGGCCTAGTTTTAAATTTATCAAGGGCTCATTAATGTTTTCATCCCCCAGGAGGTGAGCCTCTGATGCCCCTAGTCAGGGTGTATTCTCTCTGTTGATCTATTTTAAAAACCCTTAAATCTCTTTCCCACTTTGGTCATTCTCTCTTGAAATGTCCATTCTGCTCACAATAGCATTCCCCATTTTCTGGGACTTCTGGTCTTGTCCACCTGGGTTGTTTTAAGGGTGAAGGGTTGCTTCCCTTTGGTCCAAAGGATCCCATCCCCTGTCCAGGACCCTGAGACACTACCTCTAACTTTTGCTATTTCTTGTACTGCTGCAACCATAAGTTTTGTCTTGGCCTTTTGTGTTGTTGTTTTGTTTTGTTTTGTTTTTTTCCTCATCACAGCTCACATACACCTTCTGCGCCTCTCTCAACAATTTATTTATTTATTTTTCCTGCCAATCTTCTAATTTTTCTAATTTCTTCCTGATATCTGGCCAGGCATGTGTAACAAAAGTTACTTTCAATAGTTCTTGGCCTGCTACAGCCTCTGGATCAATTCCGAATACTGTTGAATATTTCTTAGGAGTCTTTCCAACCAGTCCGTTGGAGATTCCTCCTTTCCTAACTAACATTTGGCCCTCTCAGGGCTACCTTCTTAATTCCTCTTATAATCAATGTCCGATAATCAGACATATTTTTCCTCCCCGCAGGATCGTTCTGATTCCAGTCAGGTCTCTGCAAGGGTAAGTTTTGTTCCCCTG